CAGCAGGACGATTGGCAGTCGCCTCCTCCCCTCTGCGCGCCCCTCGGCGCACTGCTGCTGCCTCCACCGCTGCTGCTTCCCTCCAGAAGTCAACTGGGAGCGGGGTGAGGGTGCGAGCGGGAAGGGGGATGGTTAAGGGCCGTTAGAGGACCACGAAGGAGAGCGAAGGGAGCAGAAATTGCGAGGAGCAACGCAAGTGAAAGCCAAGGCAGCAGCGTCACACCCAACACAACGGGGGAACCTTAGTCTGAACCGTACCAAGCACTCACCATTACCTGGGCTGAAAATTTTGAACCTACAACCGGGGGAAAGGGAAGGGGGGGGATACCTAGTCCGAACCTGATACCTGGGGGTTGAGTTGGGTGCGGCGCTGAGCAAGCGAGCAGTGCGTGCATGCGAGTGGGGTGCGTGCATGCGAGCTAAACGACAAGGCAAGGCGAGTGAAGGGCGGGCGGATACTCATCTCTGCAGCAGGACGCTCGGCAGTCGCCGACGGAAGTCGCGGCAGCGTTGACGCTGACCAAAGGCAGCCGCGTTGACGTTGACTAACGGTAGCACCGGCGATGACGTTGACCAAAGGTAGCAGCGGGTTGACGTTGACTGGAGGAAGGGAGTTGGCGAGAAGGGATAAAAAGGGCGGGGGGGCGATAAGCGAAGGGCAAACAGAGGACGCCAACCATGAAAAGACAAAGTAAAGAGCGATGAAACATGCAGCACGCAACAGACAAGTAACGAGACAGCGGGAATGCGCGAGACGACTGCTGCAGCACACCCAGGCGGGGATTACCTCAGCCTGAACCGTACCAAGGCCGAACCTGTACCAGGGATGAAAAGTTTTGCACCTGCATTAGGGGATACCGGCAGTGGGGTACCTGATAACGTACCTAGACGAACCTGAGCGTCGTACCAGAGGGGTGGGGGCCTTGGGTGTGCTACTGAGCAGCCGCGCAGCGCGGGGTGCAAGCGGCGTGGCAGCGAGGGGTGCGTGCGTGCGAATCGACAAGGCGGTTAAGGGCGGGATGGTACTCATCTCGGTACAGGGAGTCAAGAGCGGCAGAGACGCCGCACGTCGCAACAGAGACGCCACGCGTCGCATCAAAGACGCCACCCGTCCCAGCAGACAGGCGCCTGGCAGATGCAGCAGCGCCACGAGTGGACGCCGAAATGCGTCGAGCAGAAACGCGTAGAGCAGCTGTCATGCGCGAATTGAAAGGCAAACAGGCGAACTGCGGGATAAGATACAAGAGAGAACGAGAGGTTAGAAGACGAAAAATGACGCGGAAAACAAAAAAAAAAAAGCGAAAGATTCGACTCTTCAAACGCTACTCGCACCCCGCAATCCTCGTCTTGTGGCTTACGTCGGAAAATTGGTCGCGAAAATGCGAAGCCGAAGGCGACAGGGACGCGATAGCAACGCATTTCAAGGGGACGCCTGCGGAAGTAGCGTGTTGCAGCGAGCTCATTGACTCGATTCGAGGCAGCAAGTCGCGGAAACGGTGACGGGAACCTGAAGGAACACGAAACGGGTGTTAGAAAGCGTAGAAGTTTCAAAATCGACACAGCAGAACGAAATAGCAGCCTCTCTTGGCGGGCCTATCTGACACCGCATTTCCCTGGGCTTTGTCGCTCACCTTGAAAAGCTCGCGTAACATTCTTTCCGTCGGTAAACAGGGATGTCACTAGTGCAGGTTGTCGAGTGTATTTTTGCCGTTGGTTAGTTCTCGCGTGTCCTAATGCGAAGCTGCGTATCTTGAAAGCTACGTTCAACGGACGCAGCTTCCGAAACGATAGCATAAGTCAGTTGACGCGGGATAGTAACGTGATGCGAGCGTTGACGCCAAACTCTAGCAACATCAATCTACTCGACGTCTCCAGAGCGAGGATTGCGCGTGAATTTAGCAGCATAGGGACAGACCGAAGTCAGAAATGAATAAATGAACTAGGAATGAACACGCCGACAGGAAATGTGCAATTCCGAGCTGAACGAATACTAGGCGAGCAGGTCGGGAGAGGAACCTCTAGGCCGTGGAATGAGAGAGCGTGGGGTGAGAATCGAGCCGCGAGATGAAGGATACTAAACCGAGTTGGCGGGCTCTACGGCGTCATCGGCGGCGAAGCAAACCGAGGTGGTTCGAAGACCGTTGGAGGAGGGAGGGAGAAAAATTCTGGAGGGGTGGCTGACCACCGCTGCGAGGGCAGGACGAGGTGAATCCGCCACCGACCTGTCTATCAGGAGTTTCAGGCAGCCTTTTCTGAGTGTCGCCAAAACTTACTGTACATTCTACACGACGACATTTGGGGTTACACTAAGCAAAAGCACCTCAAGATCCTGATTTCTTGGCTGTGATTGTCACCAGGATCATTGAGTTTCTGCACCATTGAAGAATTTCAGCTCCCTGTCAGGCATCCTCGTATCACGAGCTTGCCACCGTGGCAAAAACGAATGGCTTACCACCATCCCAACCAAGTCGCTGGGACCACATTGGTAGCCAATTACGGTCGTTCGGAAAAGGCTTGCGAGTGATCGGCTCGGCAGCAATGCCAGGCCGGGCACAGCTCGCTTGGCAATTTGGAAGAGCGTGATTTGATCAGCAACTGTTGCCGCGCAAATTCAGCCGCGGAACGCGCCTCCGCGGAAGTTGATACATTGAATCTGCCTTCGTTTCTCAAACTTTTCACCCCCAGACCCCTGCATATTTTGTAACCCCAAATTGAGTCGCATCCCCTCCCCTCATGCATGCAATCACTTTTCTGCAAAACGCTGCCCCTAACTGAAACTTCTGATGCAACGGAGGCCGAGAGGAGATCATCTCATGCCCTCGCGGCGGTGGTCAACCACCTCTCTGCCTCAAGCAGAACATTTCTCCCTCCCTCCCTCCAACGGTATTGAACCTTCCTTAGGGCGCGTTCCTGGCGCGTGTCAAGCTTCCGGTCATCCGCGGATGACCGGAAGTTAGACCCACTTTGGGTCATCCGAGACCAACTTCGGGTCTTCCGGCCAAAAATTGCCCCTGTTTCCGGAAAACACAAGGTTTGACAGGAACTTTAACCCAAAGCTTCGGGTCTTCCCGGGAAGGCCCGAAGCTTGACACCAGCCAGGAACGCGCCCTTAGGTGTTATGTTTCGCCGCTGATGACGGCGTAGAGCCCGCCAACTTGGTTTATAGTATACTTCACCTCGCGGCTCGATTCTCACCCCACGCCCTCTCATTCTCTGTCGCAACCTTTTGGTAGGGACATGCCTCTCGTGCCACAGCCTAGTGCATCCATCTCCTAGTCCACGACGTGTAATTCTTCAGTTCATATATTTAGACCTCACAATGCGTTCATTCCTAGTTCATTTCGCCGTTTCCACTTGATTCCGTCTCTGTGCTGCCAATGTCACGAGCAAGCCTCGCTATCCAGACGTTGTAGTTTGGCCTCAATGTTCGCATCACGTTCCTACTTCCTCCGTATCACTGCATCGAGGGACTTATGTATCGTTGCGAAAGCTTCTTCAGTTGAATTTCTTACGATACGCACCAGCGAACGACCAAGCAACGGCAACCAAGGCAACACCGATGGCTTCCACCATTGAAGACGAAGAGGACGAGCTTGCAGGCAATGCGCTGAGGCAATACCACACCAAGTTTAAGATTCGACCAAAACTCAAGACGTGAAGCCCTCACCTTCAGATAAGTACTGTCTAGTCTCAACCTCATTTCTGATCATTTTTTGTATGACATCATTTTCATACTTGAGTGCTTACCAATACCGCTGCATGAGCCATTCCCCTTACTGGTATAGTTTTTTTATCAGGTAACCTTTTCTGGTGAGTTCCTAGGTACTCTTCTGGTATTTTCTTGGTACTTGGCCCATGTGGCAGTGGCGGTTCGCGCTCTTGTTGTGTGCTTCTGCATATACATCGCATCATGCACATGCATGCTTCGTCTGAACCTTCCAGTTTCGCTTTTACTCAGTCAACCTTCTCTGTCCTTGTACTGGCAGATGCTCGTTCGTCAACACCATCAACCACATGGCAGCATGAAGGCGCTTAATGTTTCAAGTCAACGTTCAAGTCGTCCAGCCATTGCTTGGAGCCAACATCGGAGCTTTTTCAGCTCAAGGCACAGACCGAAGGCCAACTCTCCTCAACCAAGACTTCAGGAAAAAGCTAAGTAGCGCTTTCCTTGACTCCTCTTATGCTCTTGCTGTTCATGTTTCTGTTGTTTCGGACCATCATTTCCGCCTTTCATTGCATGGCGTTTATGCTTGAGCGCTCACTAGTACAACCACCTGAGTCATTCCCCCTCTGGTAAGGTTTTCAGGTCTCTTCATGTATTTTCTGGTATAGACTCTTGTGGCTGTAATGGTGAGCGCTTTTGCATTCATGCTATTGCACATTTCATCCATAATGCACATGCATATGACGTGCTCCTCTGGACCTTCCAGTTTTGTTTTTAATTATTCCTTCTCCTCTCTTTTTGGACTGGCAGAGGCTCTTCCGTCACCGCCATCAACCACGTGAGAGCAGCAAGGCCCTCAATACTTCGAGTCAACTTTCAAGTCGTCCAGCCAGCCAACGCCTGGAGCCTACATCAAGGCTTTTTAAGCTCATGCCTGAGCGCTGAGGCAACGCTGCTCAACCGTCAAGACTTCATAAAAGCTAAGTACCGCTCTTTCCTTAGCTCCGCTTCTGCTTTCTGTTTATATTTCTGCTATTTCGAACCATCATATTCACATCTCCGCCTTTCATTGCATGGCGTTTATGCTTGAGCGCTCACTAGTACAACCACCTGAGTCATTCCCCCTATGGTAAGGTATCCAGGTCTCTTCAGGTATTTGGTATAGACTCTGGTGGATGTAATGGTGAGCGCGCTTGCATTCATGCTACTGCATATCATCCATCATGCTCACGCACATGACTTGCACATTTGAACAATCTTGTGACATTTGTACTCATTCACTTCCTCTTTCCTCCTTTGATTGGCTTTGCAGGTTCCTTGTCATTAAAGGCCTTCAATGGCTTCAACGTACATTCTATGTGCTCAACAGCCACTTATGTTCAGCAGTCAAGTATCTGAAGTCCCTCAAGGTAAATAATCATGATTTTTGAAAACTGACCTTCGTTTCTCATCCTGCAGGTAACGTGGAGGCGGATGCAAGAGGAATCTGCCATGAAGTGATGGTCTAGGGCATGAGGCGGATCAAGGCCCTTAAGGTAAGACTTCAATCATTTGGCAACTTTCGTTTGTGACACATTGACTAAATTTTCCGTTTCCATCCTGCAGGTTCTTCAACGCGGGTTTAGGTTTCCAACGGACATCACCACTCAGAATGCTCAACGATTTCTGACGTCAAGTACTCCAGGATCTGAAGTCTTTCAAGGTATAATTTTGTATCCTTTTAGCAGCTTAAGTTTGTGAAAAAGTGACTAACATTTCCGTTTTTATCCTGCAGATTCTTCAAGATGGGAGAGCTTCAATGGACATCTCCACTCAAGATGCTCAACGATTACTGACGTCCAGTTCTCCAGGATCTGAAGTCTTTCAAGATATGATTGTTATCCTTTTAGCACTTAAGTTCATTGCTTCCTTAGTTCTTGCATGCTCTGTCTGAGGACTGACTAATCCGTTTGTCCTCTTGCAGGTGTCGAGATAGCTAGGCAAGGTGAGGATCACTATCGAGAGAAATTGTACAAGTAGGAAAACCCTAAGGGGTTATACCCCACAGAATCTACCCCACTACAACCTATCAGTAATATAACCTATATAAATATGTTTGACACACCCCCATAGGCAAAGTGGGGGAGAGTGAGAGGTCACAAGTCCAGTCAAGTAAGCAAACCAAGCTCAGGGTGGATCACAACGTCACCACATACTCTGAGCACAAGCAAAAGGCCACAAGGTTAGTTCACATGCAGAGATATACATGCAGCAATAATAGTACAGTGATGACTATCTAGCAAGTACCAACAAGCAGGTATATATTTCAGTACAAGCAAGGACTACAGCAAGTGTGGAAACGTAGGTACAAGGCCAAACAGGATACAGAAGCGCTGATGATCACCAGACGGAAGTGCCTTGGTGAATATATCAGAAGTGTTGGCCCGAGTGGCCACGTGACGAAGACGAAGCTGGCCTCGCTGCTGCAGCTCTCGAGCCAGGAAGTAACGCAGAGCGATGTGCTTCGTTCTGTGCTCCAGTCTGTTCTCCTCACACAAGGCAATGGCTGCCTTGTTGTCAACGTACAGAACTGGAGGAGAACGAGGCTGCTCACCCAAGTCAGTCAGCAGGTAAGTGAGCCAGCGTAGCTCCTGTGCAGCCATGGCGGTGGCGTAGATCTCAGCCTCACAACTGGAGCTGAGAACAGAAGACAAGCGGGTAGACCGCCAAGAAACAGAGCCAAAGCCAAGGCTGAAGGTGTAACCCTGTGATGACCGCTGCGTAGCCTGGTCGTCAACCCAAGACGCGTCTGAGTGCCCATTGAAGACCACCTCACTCCGTCCTCCAAGCACGAGCCCCATGCCCAATGTACTGCACAAGTAGCGCAGTACCCTCTTAGCAGCAGCCATGTGCTCTGGTCGGTGCCTACCAGGAGCCACGTAGCGAGCGAGAAGGCCAAGAGGGTATACAAGGTCAGGACGAGTGCAGGTCATCAGGTACATGAGGCAGCCCACTAGCTCTGGATAAGGACCACTCGGCTCTACGGACTCGTCCGAAGGTGGAGCTGAGAGCGAGTGACCTGTAGCCAGAGGAGTGTGCTGTGGCGAGGACCAGGTGAAGCCGAAGCGCTGAAGGACCTGCTGCACCATGTGTGACTGAGTCAGTGTGATGGTGCGGCGTGCTCTATCCCGGGTGATCTGCAAGCCAAGGTAACTGCGCAGCTCACCCAGGTCTGTGCACGTGTGTCTCTTCTGCAGCTCCGACTTCACCAAGGCGAGAGCCTCAGTGTCAGCAGTGGCAAAGACCAAGTCATCGACGTACACGAGGATGTAGAACGACGGCAGCAAAGTGTAGGTGCGCAGGAACAGCGACGGGTCAGCAGTCAAAGGAGCGAACCCAAGAGCCGCAAGTGTAGTCCTCAGTGTGTCGTGCCACTCACGAGGCGCCTGGCGGAGACCGTAGACTGGCCGCCGGAGGCTCTACTGGGTACCAGGAGGGAACGACCCAGTGAAGCCAGGTAGGCGGCGCAGCCAGATCTCCTCGTGCAGGCTGCCCTGTAAGAAGGCTGTGCTGAAGTCAAGAGAGTGAAGCTCGTAGTCACGCTGAGCGGCAACGTGCAGCAGCACCCGAAGAGTGGTCATCTTCGGGGTGGGGGAGAAGGTCTGAAAGAAGTCAACTCCCTCTCGCTGACTGAAGCTTCTATCAACGTAACGAGCCTTGAAGACAGGCGGAGAACCCGGCGGCCGCTTCACCCTGAAGATCCACATGCCATCGACGATGTTCGCCCAAGGAGGGGGAACCTCATCGACGTAAGTGCCTGTGGACTTCCAGGATGCCATCTCTGCGTCCATGGCTGTCTGCCACTGAGAGGAGTACTCACCCGCGATCGCCTCAGCGTAAGAGCGCGGGGTCGGGATGTCTGGTGCATCCGGGTCTCCCTCAGGGGCAAGCAGCATGGCCACGAGATGAGGCGCAGCAGCCGCAAGACACTCAAGGTCCTCGTGCCTGTCCTCAAGGACGTCCGTGCTAAGAGCACACTCACCCCCGACGGACGGAGGACAGACTGACTCAGACTCAGCAACAAGACTGGCAGCGAAGTCTAGACGACAGGCAGCAGCAAAGTCAACAAGCTCAGTGACCAGAGCAGACGCAGCAGTAGACTCAAACGACGGGTCAGTGACAACAGTGGCTAGCAGACGCGTGACAGTAGGGTGCTCAGCACGAAACCGGTCAGACTCAGGGTCCGGAACGTCAGGCAAAGAGGACGCAGGAGGAGACGGCAGAGGAACAGGCTGCGGAGCAGAGGAAGGACGACGGACTACGAGGTGTGCGCTGGGGACAGCCGGCTGACGCGAACGAGGAACACGACGACCGGTACGACCAGGACGAACAGGCGAGACAGGACGCGACGCAGGCTCACGACGCTCAGCAAGACTACATGTTTGCTCAGTGTAAGGAGAGGGAGCAGGCAGCGGTGAGCCAGGCTGTAACGGAAGACCAGTAGACGACGGAAGAGTAAGAACCTGACGAAGAACAGAGTCAGGCGGCGGCAGAGACGACGGAGACGGCGGAGCGAAGAACAGTCGTGTCGGCGCAGCTGCACCAGTCTCGGTAGCTCCAGCAGCTCCAGAACCTCCAGCAGCTCCAGCACCTCCAGCAGCTCCAGAAGCTCCAACCCCAAAACCGACACCTCCAGTCCCAGGGTCTCCAACCGCAGTGTCTCCAGCAGCAGCACCCCCAGAACCAGCACCTCCAGTCCCAGGGTCTCCAGTCTCAGTGTCTCCAGCAGCAGCACCTCCAGACGCAGCACCCCCAGCCCCAGCAGCTCCAGTACCTCCAGTACGAGCACCTCCGGGACCAGCGACTCCAGTGCCTCTAGTAGACAAAGTACCAGCACCACTCCTAGCTCCAGCGACGGCAGTAGAAGTACCTCCAGCAGCAGAGCCCCGGGCTCCAGCAGCGCGACGCTGACGGCGACCGTACCAGTCCTGCAGCTGCTGTGGGGTGAGAGGCACACGCGGACGAAGGCGGCTACTCCAAGGAGACCGCGCAACAGTAGACTCAGAACCCTCAGCGCCAGCACCCCCAACTGCTCCAGAACCTCCAGCTCCAGCACCCTCAGCAGCTCCAGAACCTCCAGGCGAAGTACCTCCAGGCTCCTCACGCACAGGCTCAGTACCCTCAGACTCCGCACCTCTAGGCTCAGCACCTCCAGGCTCCTCTCGCTCAGGCTCCGCACCCTCAGACTCGACACCCCCAAGCTCAGCACCTCCAGGCTCCTCACGCGCAGGCACAGCACCCCCAGACTCCGCACCCCCAGGCTCAGCACCTCCAGGCGCCTCTCGCTCAGGCTCCGCACCCCCAGGCTCAGCACCCCCAGAGACAGCACCCCGAGCAGGACCACCTCCAGCAGGACCTGAGTCACCAGTGACCTCAACAGGCGCAGGTACCGGAGGGTCTACCTGAGAAACACCTGAAGGAGCAGGACCTGGCGCGGGGAGGGGGTCTACCTGGGGAGGACCTGGAGCGAGAAAGAGCGGCGGGGGGGGGGGGGGGGGGCGAGAGGCAGTACGGTAGGGAAAGAGACGGTAGAAGGGAACAGACTCGTCAAAGGTGACGTCCTGAGACGCAAAGACACGGCGCGAGGTGGGGTCGTAAAACTGCCAGCCAGGCGCGTCAGGAGGAAAACCAAGGAAGACGCAGGGAATGGCGCGAGCAGAGAGCTTGTCCGCGGTGAGATCGCGGACAAAGGCACGAGCACCCCAGACCCGGAAACGCGACGCATCGCCAACCTCCCCCGTCCACAGCAGCGTGGGCGAGGTCTCCGGCAAGGAGACACGGGGCCAGAGATTGAGCTGATGCGCGGCGTACCGGACCGCGAACGGCCACAGAAAATGGGGAGCCGCCGCATGGATCATGGAGGTACGAGCGACCTCCATGACTAAGCCAATGCGGCGCTCAGCAACCCCATTCTGCTGCGGAGAGGCCGGAAGCGTGAACGACTGGGTGATGCCGTGCTCCGCACAGAAGGCTGCCAAGAGGTCAGAGGAGAACTCACCACCTCTATCAGAGTGCAGACGCAGGACAGGGAAGTCCCGCTCAAACCGCTCGCGGAGCTGGAGACGCACAGCGCGGATCCAGGGGATCAAAACAGCAGGGACGTCCCCCTTGCTGCGCAAGGGGAAGACCGTGGTGTAACGCGTGTAGTCGTCGACAACCAGCAAAAAGTACCGCTCACGGCCCTGTCCCTGGACGCGGGCTGGGCCCCACACGTCCAGGTGGAGCGTCTGCAGGGGAGCCTCTGTGGGAGGAAACGAGGAGGAGTGAGGAGCGGCGCGCTGCCGCCCCTCGACGTAGGGAATGCAGAGCGGCGCAGGCGAGGGAGGGAGGGCAGGCAGAGACCTGGGAAGCCCAGAGACCAGGGAGCGAGAGTGCATGCTACGAAGGCGAGGAAGGGAGGGGTGACCAAGGCGGTGGTGCCACAGGAGCGTGTCGTGCGACAGGCGGCGGCACTCACACTGGGTAGCTACCTGAGCAGACGCGTACAGCTGAGGAGACAAAGGAGTGTAGCGTGAAACAGTGGTGAGGGTGTACAGACTAGACCCCGGCTCACGAGTGAACGTGGCCAGGTGGCGGCCAGTCTTGGAGCACGTGCAGATCGCCACACGCTGCCCTCCAGGAGTCCAGGTGTCAACCCAGTGATCCTGGAGGACGGCGTTGCTCACCAGGTTCGTAGAGAACGAGGGAACGTGGAGACCTGACAGCTCACCAGACGGGACCGCCGGGCACGGGAGCACAGTCGTGGCTCGTGCAAGCACTGGGCCCCCAGAGGGGTCAGCCAGTGAGACAGGGACAGGTGCAGGGAGGGGAGTGACGGT